AAATCCGCTACTCTGTATCGTCCCGTGGGTGTCGTAAGAGGCAACAAAGAAAAAAAATAAACAAAGAGATGAGCCTTCTAACTATCACCACAGAATAAATAATAATAAGTAATAGTTAAAAGAAAGTAGGCTCACTATCTGATAGCAAACTTGTGAGTTTAACTTAGTTACAACGTAGCTAATATTCATAATCCTTTGCACGCCTCGGAAGTGACCTTCGTGAAACTAGCCTACAGCTTATTTCATCGGAAAAAATTTTTTTGTGGAGCGCGTATTAAGTCAAAATGCACCTTACGTCCACGTGCGAGTGTCTGTATTACTTAGCCCGTTACGCGCCTTTGTTAAAACCGCTTCTACTGTAGGGTTAGGTGTTGTGAGAAAACAAATTGAATCATTTGATATTAATTGGTATGTATATAGTAGAATACACCGAGGTGTTATGCAATGTATTAGTATTTCTTTTTTTTATTTAGGAAAAGAAATTACCCCCACACTAGGACTTTCTCTTGTATCGTGGAGGCAGTTAACAAACATAAATTGCACAACGACAAACATCTAGACCCGGGACAATTATTTGTAGGCCATACAAATACTTGTACCGTGCGGGATTCGAATCCGCGGGCCCAGTACTGCAACTCATTGCTAAGCCACTGCGCCACAGAGCCATCAATTTGCTGATAATAAAAACTTTATTGTTTAATGTGAAAAAGGTTAATATGCAACATCGAGGAAAATTAAGATTATAACAACGTGAATGTCTTTGAAACTAAGATTATTTACCTACTTACCATTTTTGACCGACTTAAAAAAAGAGGATGTACTCAATTCAACTGTTTTTTGTAATGTGTGTTACCTCAGAACTTTTTTCTAGATAAATCGATTTTGATGATTCTATTTCTATTTGAAAGCTGGTGCTTATAATTTATACATCCCATATAAATTTGATCAAGATCTGACAGTAGTTTTGGAGTTATCCTTAACAAAGCATATTAGTACTGAAGTCGGTGGTACAAACTTTTTAATTTATTTAATAGTCTCTCTTCCTCTCTTTTTAAAAAAACGTTACCTCAAAGCTAGGATTTTCTCCTGTATCGCAGGGACAGTTATATACAGATCCAGAACAATTATTTTAGGCCATACAAATACTTGTTCTGTCTGGGATTCGAACCCGCTATTAATTAATTAATTAATTAGCGCTGCAACTCATTACTAAGCCACTGTGCCACGGAGCCGTCACTTGTCTGTTTAACATTTTTTGCTATTTATAAACATGCGACACGGGACTTCATTATAAATGAAAGAGTGGCAATGAAAAGTGCTGCTAAGTTCAATCATTAACCAGTATATGTTGATCTTGCATTAATAGACAGTCACCAGTACTGGGTAGTTTTTTTTAATAGGAGAAACCCCCCAAACGAGCATGCGGCTCACCTGATGGTAAGTGACTACCGCCGCCCATGAACACTGCAACACCAGGGGAACCAGGGGAATTGCAGATGCGTTGCCGGCCTTTCAAAAAGGAGTAGGCTTAAGTCTACTTACACTAAACTATATTTTAAGGTCATTGGCATTATATCGACAACTGCGAAGCTGTGGTCGGTCGTAACTGTGGTGTCAGTGACCAAGTATCTAATTATCTAGATCTACCTATAAATAATAATATATTATCTTTCGGTATCTTAAGGAACAGTAAAGACGACATTTCTATTGTTATTTAAGCACCCGTATGCAATGCTAACCTTTTGGCTTTTTGAGAGGTCATACAAAAGTGTCTAAATACTTATTAAAAAAAAAAAAATTTAATATGTTAACTTAAGGCGCGCATCAGCTCGAGCGGGCGCGTGACAACCTCACAGAATTAGCCCCGCATGCGGGGTCGCGTGGCGTAGGTATATTTTCATGCCTAAAGCCCGAAGTGAGGCAGGCCTGTTATCACTAAAGATAAAAAAAAAACTGCAGTTGTCCATCCCATCTGCCAAGCATAGTTACTATGGCAAGTATCATATATGAGGCAATTTATGTGGAGGCCTAAATTCAGCAGTGGACTTTGATAGGCTGCATTGGTAATGGTGATATTTTTATTAACATTTTGTACTAAATGTCTATAGAAGAGTTTAATTGTACATTTTTTTTAAAGAGGCTGTAAAAGGAACACCTGCTGACCTAAAAGTTTCTGGAACTCCTGCTCAACATGGGGGCAGCAAAACGACAGCAGTGGCACCTAAAGCAACAATGAGCAAGGTAAGTTTAGGTAATAAGTTTATGCGGAGTGTATTCAAATTTTATTATAGGCATCGTGATTACTCCCGATACATAATAATATTGAAACTTCCAGGTCATACGTAAAATTTCTTCATTTTCTTATTTTAAAAGAAAAATGGCTCCATCGTTTAGCCAACGATTTTCTGTCAATATGAAGGTTGAGAAATACTGGAGGATATTACGAAAAAGTTAATAGATCAAATGTAAAAATGCAGGAGTGCATTGCAAAATTCTTGGAAATGTTTAAACATGTTGTAAATTAGAAAATTAACAGTTATACATAGATATTTTGAAAGTATTCATTAATTATAACATCTTATAAAAAGTTCAATGCCAAACATAGGTCTCTCCCATAGATTTATTTTCAGTAAAGTAAAAAGTTATTGCGTATGTATGTCACTAATGGTCACAGGTCTCTTATAGGATTTGTCCGCTGCACTGCTTTAATGTAAGTTGATCGAATTTACATATCTTCGAAATATTTTATTCCACATACCCGCTGATCAGAGCTACTGGTGGCGGGTGGCAAACCAGTCCTAAGTCCTAAAGTACCAGTCCTTGTGGCAATATCGCGGCCATATATTTTATACTTGGTAGAGCCATGCTGCAGCTATATTGGTAGTATAGTTGTAGCACGAATGGGTTGGATCGACGGGGAAGGACCACGCTCTCACAGAATATCAGCGTAAAATAGCTCAACGCTGCTGTGTTTCGTATGGTGAGTGTAGAGAACCGGATACCTTTTTTTACTGGAAAAGAGGTATTCTATCTTAGTCCGCACGGGTCACAATGCATCTGCATTTTGTTTCTATATTGAGGATAGATGTAGATATCTATGGGTCACAGCAACTTACCATCAGGTGGACTGTGTGCTCGTTTGTCAAACTATCCTATAAAAAAAATAACTCGAATAATCGATCAATGGGGAAAAACCGTAGTGGTGTAAGAATATGCACTACGTCATATCGTCTCGTTGGTGTCGTAGGAGGTGACAGAGGGAAACAATACAGGAGATTTGCAAGCATGGCAACTATGGCAAACATCCCCCTATGTAGCAATCTATGGATATTTGATAGGTTCTAAAGAATGAACTATGATAGGCAAGAAAGGTTTTCATGGTAACCGAAATAATAATTTTAAGTTATAGTTTCATAAGCGACTAGCGATCCACCCCGGCTTTGCACGGGTGGCATCTGGATATCCACAACAGCGCCACCTACAGGCTCCAATTGTAAATTTAAACCCTCCAGGGTTCAACCAGGGTTAAACCCACTCAAACACATAAAAAATGCGTGAGATGCGTAGAACACTCGGTTGGAACGAAGTTCTTTTCGTAGTATATTATTATTGATTAACTTAGTTAAAAGTTAAAGTTAAAGTTGCAGCCTATTTACGTTCCACTGCTGGGCACAGGCCTCCTCTCATTTCTGAGAGGGTTTTAGGGCAAGGAAATGTACGCCGCACTGTTTTCCTTCACCGCCGAGCACGTGGTAAATCAGCACTTAAAATTGCAATTAACAATTTCATTGGCGCCGGCGGGGATCGAACCCGGGTTGCTCGAGCTCTGTGAAGCTTACAGCGAGCGCTAACCATCTGAGCTACCACGGCTCTGATAAACGTAGGTATTATATTATTGATTAACAAATACAAATAAATGAATTACTAGCGTCTATTAAAATGAAGCGTCATTTGAAATAAAATAATATTTCTTTCATGGCAAGATAAGGAAAAGTGCGAGGGAGATGGATATTATTCCATCTCACTTCCTTATTTCGCCGCCAAGGCCGTCTACACTATGACACAAGGGGTAGTGACGAAAACATCTTACACTTTGTCGCCTAGCTCCCATCCGCCAAACCCGTACCGTCCGATAAAGAACTTCGTCCAAAAATTCTATTTAAATCGGTCCAGGCATTTTCGAGTTTTTGCGAGAGATAGTAAACTAATAGTTAAGGATATGGACTGCGAAACTCAAAAGTCGTACGTTCGATGCAGCCATTCGACAACAATCGTGAATCACTCTTAACACAAGCATTTCAGCTTATTTGGTTAAAGGGAACTTAAACACATCAGTATCTCACGTGTGTGACATACTTTGGTCTAGACCACTGCCAGATTTGTGTCTAATATCTCACAATAAAGCACCGAGTCACACATCGAGTGTATTTCGTTTTGTGGCGCGTAAAGAAGTGGTTGGTTACATGGCAACACGTGCGTTGCGGGCGGCCGTCGGGAAACAATATCGCCACACGTTCAAAAATACCGTCGCCAGTGTTGCCTTATTTCAAACATTTCTAAAATTTTTAGCAAATTGTAACAAAACACATGTATTTAAAATAATAATAACATTTTAATTTATATATATTAATAATATAATGCTTTTTTGGTAATGTCACTGTCGTGGTATGTGTCCCTTGCGGATGGGACAAGATGTTATTTACATATTGTAGATACAACTGGTAGGTATGTTAAAAACTGAAGAAAGTTTATTTTTAATAAAGTCTTTTTGAACCAACAGTGAACATAATAGCGTCAAGCGATTTAATTTTGAAATATTGCTCAGCACAACTTAATGTCTTCTCCAAACTGCACGTTTTGTCCTAACCCGTGGTTCCACTGTATTTTGGACTTAAAGGGGACTATTAGTTCTAATTTCTCTCGAAACATATCCACAGCTTATTGAAAACGTAACCTTATTTTACTTTATCTTCTTCTCTCTTACTCTATTTACTTTATCTTTAAGCAATTGACATCTTTAATCCATATTTATTGAACAGTTTTCTGATATGCTTGAGTAGTGGTCTATTCAGTAATGTGCCCAAGTCCTTCGCAAACAGAAAGTCCACGTGATTAAACTTTGGCCAGGAGCAACCCGGCCGGACGTCTTCCACTATCCCTGAGGTATTCAGTTCTCGAGCTAGGCGCATTACTTGCTAGAAATGAAAATGGTTTCCGATTTTAATAATATAATTATAAGTAGGTAATATTAACAGCAAATTTTATTAAATTAAAATAAAAACCTAGCACACAATCCACGGGATTGAAAGCGGATGCTGTGGCTCATAGGCACCTATATCTATCCTCGATAAGGAATCAAAATGCAGATGCGTTGTCACCCCTGAATACCTAAGATAGAAAAAAGTTTCAGGTTCTGTGCACTCACCATACGAAACACAGCAGCATTAAGCTGCTATTTTACATTGGTATTTTGTAAAGGCGTGGTCCTTTTCCGGTCCAGCCGACCCAATAGTTCTGCAACTATAATATAGCTGTAGCATGGCGTTTTGAATGAAAATAGTAAATTTATATTTTAGTGTTTGGTTGGTAATACTTACAGATTTCTCAGCTACCTGATCGTTTTCACCATACAATAATGAAACTGGTACTTTTATGTTAGACATGTTATAAGGCTTCACAGGACCCAAAATACCACCTTCCCATGATGTAAATTTACCTGGAACAATTTAAACACTGTCCTTAATTTTCTTCATATAAACGCTCTCGCCTGTTTTCTTTCTGGTATGTGACAGTGTATCAATAAGTTTTTTACAGTCAAATAAATATCAACCTCTTCTATGTCCCTGTGTTTTCCTTTCTGATGATACATTATCATCAGAACTATTATCATAGGTTATCGTCTCGATATAAATAGGGTAAATATCGAAACGAGAATCGATGTTGATTAACAAAGGTAAAGGTGTAATTTTGTTTTTTAATTTCTCTTTATCCATAAAATTTGTATATTTTATCTAATTCTACACTAATACGAGTATTATTCATTACTAGCTGATACCCGTGACTTCGTCCGCGTTGCTTACACACACATCACTGAAGACGTAGTGCTTATAAATATCATTGTTTCTTAAAACCTAATAACTTTATATTAAATGATGATATCGCAATATTTTTTTTAGTTAAGGGTCAAATGTCTATGAAATAAAACAGAAAAGCTAATTGAAATCTATCTAGTAGTTTTTCCGTGACGCGCGCACAACTGCAAACCTCTATCATTTTATTTATATAGATTAGGCAGTATGGCTAATTATACTAATCAAACTGTTAATAAAAAGTATAAGCCGTCTTCTAACAACTAAAAATAATTAAATAGTTTTACATTTTGAAATTGGTGCTAAGACATGGTGACTCTCTATATTTTTCTACTGACTTCAAAAAGGAGGAGGTACTCAATTCGACTGTATGTTTTTATTTCCTTTTTTTATGGGTGTTACCTCATAACTTTGTTTTGGGTGAACCGATTTCGATGATTCTGTTTTTTATTTCAAAGCTGGTGCTTCTCATATGTTCCCATATTTGATTAAAGTCTGACCAATAGTTTCTATTCATATTCACTGCTGTCGAGGACGTGTTTAACAAAGCACACAGAAGGCATACTACTACTAGATAGATAGTATGACATATCAGCAAATGCATACCTTCGGTGGCTTTGAAAAACGCCATTTGGGTTTGCTTGAGCGAAAGAAAAAGATATTTACATACAATACAATGCATGCACAAAAGAAAATCATGAACAAAGTACAAACAAACTATGTACAAAATTAAAAAAAAAAACAAATTATTTATATTCTAAATCGAATCGTCTCTCCTTCTCCAGGAAAGATTTGATTACGTCCGCGTAAAATGTTGGTGAACGTTTTAACTGTACCAATAACTGTTTACGTGGATATGAGCTGTTTTTTCTCAACAAAGTTTAAAGATTTCACCTTTTCCTCGCCGATTAGCACTTTAACACACTTCAATTCATTACAAGGAATACTATTATCCTCCATTTTCACTAAAAATCTTTAAAAAGACATACATTTTTTACTCGCAATATTCATTCGCTCAAGTAAACACAGAGTAAACATTGAAATGTGAAGTGAAGTTGCAAACGTATCGCCCGGGCGCCCCCGTGCTCGACTAACTTCACACCAAAAGCCCAGCTTATGGCTCCATACTAATTGCTATATAAACAATTGTAGTTATATTTCAGTATAGAGCATTTTGCCATAGGTTAGAAAGGGAGCGATCGTCTTCTCGAAAGCCCGGTAAAAAGCCCTCGCGTGCGAGAGAGACGACTAATCGCTCAACTCAACTCCTTTTTTATGACAGCAGTATCGCGCAGTAAAGCAATCCGCCAAGTGTTGACGTTACATAATAAGGCTATGAGGTTATGATTTGTGTAGAAGAGAGGAGCGCGCGGGAAATTTGAAAGAGTTTGAAAGAGTTTACGAATTATTTCATTATTTGATTGAGCAGTTTGATAGGGCAAGCCCGGTTTCTCGGCTTCTATGGAGGCTCAGCTACCGATTTTAAATTTGTTCTTTTAGTTTCAATACAATCGGTTCAGTCATTCCGAACATTAGTCTGGATAGAGAGACAGACAGACAAAAACTTTAAAAATGATTATTCATGTTTTAATAGCATGCAAATAACCCCCTCAGCTCAATTGAAGGCAGTTATTTCGATATTTCAGCCAGACACTTCAATTTTATTTCTATGTATAGATTATGATCTAAACTTACTTGTAAGAGCAATTTTTCCAAAATGTTCCAACTGTCGCCAAGATGCCGGCTGTACACGAGCCATCAGTTGCATCGTCACATCCTGATGTACATATTGAATGATGCATATGTATTTTTTTATATAGGATTAGGATGACAAACGAGCACACAGTTCACCTAATGATAAGTGGATACTGTGGTTCATAGACATTATTTATGCTCGATTAAAAATGATGATTAGCATTTTGATTATTGTGTTGTTACCCCTAAGGACTAAGATGGAATGCTTCGTGTCCAATAAAAAGGCTCTCAGATTCTCTAAACTCACCATCAAAAACACAATAAGAAACACAACAGCATTAAGCTGCTATTTTACGCTGGTATTCTGTGAGAGCGTGGTCCTTCCGCGGTCAAGCAGTAGTAGTCAAGTAGTAGTATTGTTCTAGCACGTAAAGAATCACGATTGTTAGATCATTGATAAAATCAGGTGTTAAGTTCTTTGTGGAATTCTATTATTATAGTAAAGATGTAAAAAATTATTAGCGCCTTCCTTTGTCGTTACCTTTTTGACTGCCTCGTGAAAAATTAAATCTCTTCAAACTCGGTAAGACGGTGTGACCCAACAGCTCCCTCCCTCCCAAAACTATATATTCGTGTACTATTACTGCCATGACGACCATGGTAACGGTGGGGCAGGGGGTGCTAAGAATCTCCGGTGGAGTTTCGGTTGCCACCTAAGATAACTCGACTTGGCAACATTCAACGCACGCACCCTAAGGACTGACGAGAAGATCAAGGAGCTGGAAGAAGAGATAGACAAGTTACGCTGGCATATTATAGGATTATCCGAGGTCAGAAGAGAGAGGGAGGACACGGTAATCCCCGAATCCCGCAACTTGCTCTATCACCGGGAGGGCGACCATCTGTCCCAAGGAGGTGTCGGATTTATCGTCCACAAGTCTCTCGTTAACAACGTTGTAAAGATTGAGAGGGTGTCGACGAGGGTTGCGTACCTTATACTCAGAATCACCAAACGGTATTCGCTGAAGGTCAAACAGGTTTACGCATCAACCTCGGCACACCCCGATGAGGAGGTGGAGGAAATGCATGAGGATATCTCTAGAGCCATGCATTCCTCCAAAACCCACTATACGGTGTTGATGGGAGACTTACACGCAAAACTAGGCACAAGGGAGAATGGTGAGCTGAAAGTATGGATATTTGGAATAGGGCAACGGAACCCAAGGGGCCAGCAGCTGGCCGACTTCATGGAGAAAGAAGGACTCTTTATGATGAACTCTTTCTTCCAGAAGCGGACCCCACAGGAAGTGGACCTGGTCGAGCCCCGACGGTTCGACAAAAAATGAGATTGACTTCATTATGACGACCAGACGACAACTGTTCAGTGATGTCTTCGTGATCGCGAGGGTGAAAACCGGCAGCGATCACCGAATGGTTAGAGGCACACTGAACCTAAACGTTAAGCTGGAGAGGTCTCGTCTAATGAAGTCAACGCCCCGTCCCCCTCGTGCTCTGTTCCAAAGTCCCGAAACCTTTCAGCTCGAGTTACAAAACCGTTTTCAGTGCCATGAAGACTGCAATGAAGTGGACGATATGAATGACAAGCTCGTGGAAACTGTCCATGCGGTCGGAGCTAAGTTCTGCAAGACCCACCGCAGAAGAACACAAAAACTCTCCGATCACACTCTTAATTTCATGGCTGTTAGACGGGACATGAAGCTACATTCTTCAACAGATTTGACAGCATACAGGCAACTGAACAGACAGATCCCCAAATGTATGCGGCAGGACTTACGTAACTTCAATACAGCTTGTATTGAAGAAGTGACCGAGCGGAACCAATGCTCCAAAGTCTTTGCCAGGGATCTGTTTGCCAGAAAGAGCCAACTGTCAAAGCTGAAGACCGAGTGTGGCAGCATCGTTTCCGGGACACCTGAGATTTTGAGTAAGATTGAGAGGTTCTATGGGCAGCTGTACACGTCATCATTGGAGCCACACGCAAGTGTGAGTAACGATCCAAAAGCGATTCTTATCCGACACTATTCCGAAGATATCCTGGACGTCAGTCTGAGCGAGATTAGAATGGCTCTCCAGCACCTTAAAAACGGAAAGTCTCCGGGCGAGGATGGAATTACAGCGGAGCTTTTGAAAGCGGGTGGAAAACCGGTACTTGAAGTCCTTCAAAAGTTTTTTAATGCCGTCCTCCATGATGGCATTACTCCGGAGGCGTGGAGTTGAAGTGCGGTGGTCTTGTTCTTCAAGAAAGGCGACAACGCTCTCTTGAAGAACTACAGACCGATTTCCCTTATGAGCAGCGTCTACGTGCTGTTTTCGAGAGTCATTACGAATCGTCTCGCATGCAGACTTGACGACTTCCAGCCTCCCGAACAAGGCGGTTTCCGAAAAGGCTTTAGTACCATAGACCACATACACACCCTTCGGTAAATTGTACAGAAGACAGACGAGTACAATTTGCCACTTGGCCTTGCGTATGTGGACTATGAAAAAGCCTTTGATTCCGTCGAAATTTGGGCGGTGCTGCAGTCCCTTCAGCGGTGCCAAGTTGACTGTCGGTATATCGAAGTGCTGAAGTGTTTGTACAGTAGAGATACGATGGCTATCCGATTACAGAATCAGAGTAAGAAACCTATCCAACTGCAGAGAGGTGTAAGACGCTGCATTGGAAGAAGTTTTCAAGCTGCTGCTGGACTGGAAAGGATGCGGTATTAACATCAATAGATGAACATGGACAAAACAAAGATCATGTTTAACGTCCATGTGCCGGTAGTTGTTGGGAGCACTAAGCTCGAAGTTGTTGACGAGTATGTTTACCTGGGACAAATAGTCCGACTAGGTAAGTCCAACTTCGACCGAGAGGTCAATCGATGGATTCAACTCGGCTGGGCAGCGTTCGGGAAACTACGACACACCTTCTCGTTAGACATACCTCAAAACTTTAAAACGAAATTGTACAACCAGTGCGTGTTGCCAGTGATGACTTACGGATTTGAGACGTGGTCCTTCACTGCTGGCCATATGAGGAAGCTCAAGGTAGCGACCTTGAGCTTCCTCATACTCATAAACGAGCTATGGAGAGGGCTATGCTCGGAGTTTCTCTGCGTGATAAACTTAGAAATGAGGATATCCGCAGTAGAACCAGAGTAACCGACATAGCCCAACGGGTTATTAAGCTGAAGTGGCAGTGGGCCGGCCATATAGCTCGAAGAACCGACGACCGATGGGGAAGAAAGGTTCTCAAGTGGCAGCCTCGTACTGGTAGGCGAAGTGTAGGGCGACTCCCCACGAGATGGAGTGACGCCCTGGTAAGACATGCAGGAAGTCGATGGATGCAGGTGGCTCAGGATCGTGCTTTGTGGCATTCCTTGGGGGAGGCCTATGTTCAGCAGTGGATTTTTGAAAGGCTGTAATGATGATGATGATACTGCCATGACACCAATAAGCTCAACACTATTGCCCCAACACCACTACAAGGTAAGACACACCGCATGCAATTGGAGAAGGAGAGGGAGGTGCAAATTTCTCACGTGCTCGGCAGTGAAGGAAAACATCTTGAGGAAACCGTACTGTTTTTTTTTAAGAAACGTTACCTCCATACTGGGATTTTCTGGTTTATTGTGGGGGTTTTTTACATACATAAATTTCACAAGGATAAAACATCCAGACCCGGTATAATTATTTGTAGGCCATACAAATACTAGTTTCGTGCGGGATTCGAACCCGCGGTCCTTAGCACTGCAACTCATTGCTAAGCCACTGCATTCACTTATCATGAGAAATCACAAGTTAATCTTAGACACTAAATACATGAACTTAAGAAGAACGGTGGGTACTTGTAAATGATATATTATTTACACGGATATGCATAATCTTGCAATGTTTTGAAGGTAACAAGAAAAGTAAGTACAATTACATATCCTTAATGAAACCAAGTTTATAGCAATTACATATTTGCAGGCAATTTATAATTAAGTTTATATTTTATATTAAATGTTTACAAATTTTTATATTAGATATTTCAAGGACACGTGAAGTTCGCCAATAATGGCTGGAGCGGCGCCGCAGACAAGCAGAATTACTGTGGACAAATTTCCTTAGTATTGTTTTTATTTAAAAAAGAACATTTCCTCCACTCAATAATTTTCTGCTCTATCGTGGAGGCAGTTTAAATATTACATAAATCGCAGAAAGACAAATATCCAGAACCAGAACAATTATTTTTAGGCCATACAAATACTTGTTATGTGAGGGATTTGAACCCGCGGCCCTCAGTGGGGCAAGGTCACTGCGCCACGCAATCGTTAACTTTAATTTTACTTTATTTTTTATATATTTTTTCTGGTAGCATAATTCCTATGCGAGCGTGTAAGAACCACGCTCTTATCGCCCGAATTGAATGTCTGATTCTTTTTGAATGGGTCACAGAATTCTTATTCACAAACTAAATGAAATCCCATAATGATTTCTTATATTTACGCGAACACTACACATTTAAATAAAACTAGTTTTTACGGATTTTATCGCGTATATTAATTTATTTTTTGATATTCCCGACGTTTCGAGCACTTTACAGCACCCGTGGTTACGGGGAGAGCCGGGGGGGGGGGGGAGGGGGCGTTCAAGACTTTAAGACACTATAAGTTAGCCGTGGTTAACTATGACATTGGGACGTCATACACCTCAGTCCCCCCGTGACCATGGGTGCTGCAAAGTGCTCGAAACGTCGGGAATATAAAATAAGTTAATATACGCGATAAAATTCGTAAAAACTAGTTTTATCTAATATATAATATATAACTAGTTATATAATGAAATCCAGCAACATATTATACTGCTTCTTACGTAATTTGCTTGGTTATATTGTTCTAGATCTTACCTCGTCAGTCTGTTCTAAATCCTCCCCAGCAATAACCTGCAGTAGTAGAGTGCAAATGTTGTCCTTGGGGTGCTTTACTGAGCACATGTTCGCTACCAGGCGATCCTGCAGCTCTGGTTTCAGGGTCGCAGACATTATGCCTTGCGAGCGCAAAAAGTCCTGGATATTTAGATACAAATATTATTTTCTCCTACATCTATCCGCTATGTAGTGTCCGCGTATTCTGATGTTAGAGCTTTAATCCTTCTTTTATACCAGTGGTTCTTAAACTTTTAGTAATGATTTAATTATAATTTAAGCAATTTTTTTATCTTGCCATGGACCACCAACTCTTAGATATATTATAATAGAATGGTTGATTTTTAGGTTTGTTCTAGAAATAAAACGCATATTATATATTTTTTACGTGGTAAAGCCATGCTGCAGCTATATTATTGGTATAGTTGCAGCACGAATGGGTCGGCTCGACCGGGGAAGGACCACGCTCTCACAGAATACCAGCGTAAATTAGCAGCTTAACGCTGCTGTGTTTCGTATGGTGAGTGTAGAGAACCGGAGACCCATTTTACTGGAAAAGAGGCATTCTATATTAGTCCACACGGCTGACAACGCATCTGCATTTCAATTAGCAAACGAAGATAGATGTAGATGTCTATGGGCCACAGCAACCACTTACCATCAGGTGGACTGTGTGCTCGTTTGTCACCCTTATTCTATAATAATAATAGGTGTCATTGTTCACCTCTTATTGCACGCCTCAAAACGCGAAGCGTTATTAGGTAGTGCATTATTCTCGACACGTCGAGGTCAAGCAATTTTGTGTTATTAAAATGCCTCTATCGTAACCATATTACACTTATACGATAATTTGAGTAACCGTATTTCAAGAAAACAATCTAATTAATCCATCTTATATTTTCTAAAAAATCATTTTATATTGCTACTTTGAAAAAAAAGCGGTTAGAAAAAAAATTACGTGGACATCCGGATCACAGAGTAAAGAGTAAGGACCAGAGGGGAAGCTTCTTAACAAGCTTGAAAATGTATACCAATTCTGATAGGGTTGTCACATGATGCATGTGTAAAATTTAAGGAAAAAATAAAAATATTGTGTAGCATAAGACAACATGTGCATTAATTATAACTTATATTAATGTAACAACATATCTATTAATTCACTTGAGTCTGTTGAATATATTAAATATCTGGGGGTTATAATTGATAGTAATTTAAATTTTAAACAACACATTAACACACTTAGCAGAAGAATTCATAAACTTATATATATTTTTAAAACTATTAGACACGTTTTGGATCCAGATATATTAAAACGAGTTTACTTAGCTTTATGTCAGTCTATTATAACATACTGCATATCAACATGGGGTGGAACTTCTAAAACGGTGTTACAAAATATTGAGATCTCTCAACGTGCTATTCTCAAAGTGGCAACATTTAAACCTTCAACTTTATGATAACTGTAAGGTCCTTACGGTAAGACAACTGTTTATATTAACGATCATTCAGAAACAGCATAGTTTATTGCTATACAACCCAACGAACTTAAATAAACGCAGGATATTTTCTGTAGATACAACTAATTTTAAAACAACTTTTATAAGAAGATTCTTTGCATTTTTAGGACCACACTTATATAATAAACTAAATAAAACATTAGACATTTACCATCTTAATAAAGTAGACTGTAAAAAAACTGTACAGATTTACCTACAAAAATTAAATTATAATGAAACTGAAAACCTTCTTAGTATTCAGAATTAAACATAAATTCTTATATAACTCACACACAATGCTACCCGTATAAAAGTAATAATATCAAAACACACACACACACACACACACACACACACACACACACACACACACACACACACACACACACACTCACGCGCACACACAAACATATACACACACATTTTACACATTCGACTCCTTAAATTGCTCATACACATTACACTCATTACACAAATACTTCTTACAGTCATACATTACACATTTTAGGAGAGAGGAATGACATTATTAGTATAAATTATTTTCTTTTTTGTGCCTTATATATATTATATATAGTATAAGTAATAACTTAGCATATGGAACATAACATGTGATCCATTAAATTTCATTGTACCTAGGCTATGTTAGCATAAGGTACAAACTCGTTAAACAATATTAATTAATTAACTTTTGCTTGCATCCTAATATTCATGTAAATAAAACGGTGGGGATATGGCGCTGACATCTGATGCACAGGTCTCCTAGTTCGGCTGCAGATGCTGTTTCAAATATATGTACAAAATTAGCTTTATTAAGTGTTAAGCAAATATCTGGTTGTACTATGTACCTTTTTGGAAATAAAGAATTATTATTATTATTATTATTATTAATTGTTCGAAATCAAGAGCTGTTTCGTATCGATTAATAATTAAACAATAAGGAAAAAATTAAAATATTATATAGTGTATAAAATAACATGCGTATTAATTATTACTTATATTACATACTGTAACAACATAATATCTATTAATTGTACGAAATGAAGAGCTGTTTCATATCGATTAATTTTAAACAATAAGGAAAAAATTTAAATATTATATAGTGTATAAAATAACATGCGTATTAATTATTACTTGTATTACATTATGTAACAACATAATATCTATTAATTGTTCGAAATCAAGAGCTGTTTCGTATCGATTAATTATAAACAATATAGAAAAAACTAAATGTTATATAGTGTATAAAATAACATGCGTACTAATTATTACTTATGTTACATAATGTAACAACATAATATCTATTAATTGTTCGAATTCAAGAGCTGTTTCGTATCGATTAATTTTAAACAATATAGAAAAAACTAAAATATTATATAGTGTGTAAAATAACATGCGTACTAATTATTACTTATGTCACATAATATCTATTAATTGTTCGAAATCAAGTGCTGTTTCGTATCGATTAATTTTAAACAATATATATTATTTATCTACATAAATTTATAACTTAATTATTTTAATTAAAAGACAAATCTAATTATTTAATAATTGCAAAAATACTAAATAAATTAATTGATGTATAAAATTTCGAAATATTGTTGGTCTATTTATTTAAATGCGCACGACTAACAGCCCTTTCATGAATACTCTGATTCAGCCGGCGCAAACCGGTTTGTACCCCGACGGAGCGTCGGTGAACCTGTCGGTGAGAGCTCACACACACATCGCTGCGCTATGGCTGCGTGTATTCGCAGCGAGCCGTTTGTATGTAGCTTCCCTTCTGGTCGGTTTCTTTACTCATGTGTCCGGATGTTGATTTTGTATGTGGTCATGATAACTCCCGAAAAAATTGACGTATCGAGACCGAGTTTTTTATTAGCTTCAGAATTACATCAACTGGTTACCTATTTCATATCAATAGCCTAGTACGAGTAGTTTGTTAATAAAATGATTTTCAAGTTTTATTGCCGTTAAAAATTTAAAGGTGCTTTCATATTTTTTTTTAAATTCTTGAAAGACAAAGGACAAATGCACCATACATTCTATATCGATTTTACACTTTGTGTATTTATTTCGGTGAACATTATTATATTTTCCCTGTAGGTGACACTACCTGTTAAAATAATAGAGCGTCTAATTTAAAACACGTAAATAATATATTTTAAAAGTCAGGAATACAATTTATTTTTTCATCAAAATTAAATGAAATGCTCATAAGGCGTGCACTTTTGGATTTTTCAAACTATTTTTCAACCGACTTCAAAAAAGGAGGTGAGGTTTATAATTCGTCGGAATCTTTTTTTTTATGTATGTACACCGATTACTCGAAGACGTGTGAACCGATTTAGGAAATTCTTTTGTTTTTGTTTCAAAGGGTATACTTCCCGGGTGGTCCGATTTAAATTCTATCGAAATCGGTCGAGCGGTTTTTAAAAAGCTAAAACAATAAATTATATTTATATTGAAGTCGGTTGTACAAATTGTTTAATTTTACCACTGGTACTTTAGCAACACATTGTACAGTAACCGTATCGGCTGTATATGTTCTCGTATATTAACTATCATCTCTAGGAATGTTGTGTACTTTTCGATATGTGCGAGAATTGTGTGACGGTTTCGCAGACCACTTGCGACTACCAGTGGTCCACGGACCACAGGTTTAGAACCACTGTTCTATACACTATGTCTAAGCATCGATTTCAGAAGGATGAAATTATTCAATTCTCTTTAGTTTTATGTATATCAAATATGTCACACTTCACGGGTGGTCCCATTTTTTTTTATAGAATAAGGGTGACAAACGAGCACACAGTCCACCTGTTGGTAAGTGCTTGCTGTGGCACATCTACATTTATCCTTGATTAAGAATCAAAATGCAGATGCATTGTCACCAATGAGGACTAAGATGGACCAGTAAAATGGGTCTCCGGTTCTCTACACTCACCATACGAAACACAGCGGTATATAGCTGCCATTTTACGCTGGTATTCTGTGAAAGCGTGATCCTTCCCCAGTCGAGCCGAATCATTTGTTTTAGTTCTATATCAAACATGTTTCACTTCACGGGTGGTACCATTTTTTTAATACAATAAGGGTGACAAACGAGCGCACTGTCCACCTGATGATAAGTGGATGCTGTGGCACATCTACATCTATCCTCGATTAAGAATCAAAATGCAGATGCATTGCCATTGTTTACTAAGATGGATTGCTCCGTTACCAGTAAAATGGGTCTCCGGTTCTCTATACTCACCATACGAAACACAGCAGTACCCTATATCACCTCGATACAAACACTCATTTCATAGATTAACTATTAATTGTAAAATGTACTAACGCTTATCCTGAAAGTCTTGATGAATACTTGAGCCATCGATTTCATATGGTCCAAGTAAACAGCCGGAGCGAGAGCCACAAACGCTAGCACTTTGTCGTTGTATTCGGGTCTCAAAGCCAGGGTCGTGAATAAGCTCGTCGTGCCCATAGAGTGGCCGATGTACAGGATTCTGGGTAGGCCCGTGACGGCCAGGACTTTGTCGATGAGTGCCGGCACATCATATTTCCCGTGCTCGTGGAAACTAAAAGGGTTTTTAACATAGTCGTAATTTATCACATACTAGCTGTTCCCCGCGACTTCGTCCGCGTTCAATTAAGGGTTTTAATTTTTTTGCGCGGAACCCTAATTCTTTTTCTAAAATAAAAGTAGCCTAAGTTACTCCTTATAATATCAGTTATCTGTCATTGAAAGTTCCGTCAAAATTGGTCCAGCCACTTCGGAGATTACCCGGAACAAACAAACAGACAGACTTATAGACGGACAGACAGACGGACAAAAATTTTAAATATTGTGTTTTTGTTTTAAGTACCATATACACTTTCATATGTATTTAGTAAAACGCTGTTATTTTGATATTACAAACAAACACTTCAATTTTATTTATTTGTATAGATTAGTCTATACCGATAAATAAAATTGAAGTGTCTGTCTGTAATATTGAAATAACTAGCTTTTATTACGCTCGGGGAGCCATTTGTATGTAATTAAGACATAAATAACCATTTTTAAAAATTCTGTCTGTCTGTTCGTCTGTCTTTCTGTTTTTATCTTCGAGCTAATCGCCAGAATGGCTGAACCGATTGTAATGAAACTTCACTAACAGATAGAAAACAATGCCAGGGGTGATTTAGGTAACATTTTATCCGAAAATCTTTTCCATTTTTTTTAGAATTGAAAATATTTATAAAATAAATGGTTTCTGATTATTATATTAAAACTAAATAACGTCACATAAATAGTATTTATTCTCGTTACTTTTTTGTCCGGAATCCTATTTCTTTTTCTAAAATAAAAGTAGCCTGTTACTTCTTATACCATCAGCTATCTGCCAGTGATAGCTATAAGGCGGAACAAACGGACAGACAGACAAACATTTTAAAATAGTTTTAAGAAAGAAAGAAAGAAGATGTTTCTTTCTTTCTTTCTTAAAATAGTTTTTGTGTTTTCGTTATAAATACCGTATATTATACTTTTATATGCATTAGGTAAAAAGCTGTTATTTTGAAATTACAAACAGACACTTCCATTTTATTTATTTGTATAGATATATAAGTTCTTACGTGGTAGAGCCACGCTGCAACGATATTATGGTAGTAGCACGAATGGGTCGGCTGAACCGGGGTAGGACACACGCTCTCACAGAATACCAGCGTAAAATAGCAGCTTAATGCTGTTGTGTTTCGTATGGTTATTGTAGAGAACCGGATACCCTTTTTACTAGAAACGAGGCATTCCATCTTAGTTCTCACGGGTGACAACGCATCTGCATTTTGATTTTCAATTGAGGATAAATGTAGATGTCTATAGGCCACAGCATCCACTTACTATCAGCTGGACTGTGTGCTCGTTTGTCACCCAATTCTATATAAAAAAAAAACTTTATAAAAAGGCATGTGAATCATTACTTAAACATAATGTAAATGTGTGTACAAAGAATTTTACATTTCATAAAGTGACATCAAAAGATATTGTAAAATATTTTAAAACTATTGATGTTAAGAAAACTGCGGATCTGTGGGGGATTTCCGTTAAAGTTATTGCGTCTATAATAGATACAATCGCGCCTCATTTAGCTATTATTTTTAATACTAGTATCGAATCTGGTGTGTTTCCTGATTTAATGAAGCATAGTAAAGTAATACCTTTATTTAAATCTGGTAGTACATTAGACCCCGCCAATTTTAGACCTATTTCTGTACTACCAACACTTAGTAAGATTTTTGAAAAAATTGTTCTTGATCAAATGTTAAATTTTTTTAATATAAATAATTTACTTCATAAAAATCAATTTGGTTTCACAAGGGGTCGCTCGACAACTGATGCCGGTGTTGAGCTGATTAAATATATCTTTAATGCATGGGAGAATTCACAGGATGCTTTGGGTATATTTTGTGACCTATCCAAGGCCTTCGATTGTGTTCACCATGAAACATTAATCAGGAAACTTCAACACTACGGTGTAAGAAGTGATGCCCTTAAATTAATTATTTCATATTTAAGTAAGAGAACGCAAAAAGTTGTCATTAACAATATGAGCTCTTCCGGATCGATGGTACAAATGGGCGTGCCTCAAGGCTCAATTCTCGGCCCCTTTCTGTTTCTTGTATACATTAATGACTTACCTTACATAGTAGGGGATAGCCATGATATAGTATTATTTGCAGATGACACTTCTTTAATTTTCAAATTAAGTCGACAGTTACTAAAATATGACGAAGTAAATAATGCTATATCTAAATTAGTAAATTGGTTCGATGTTAATAATTTGCATTTAAATGGCACTAAAACAAAATGTATGAAATTCGTGACTCCAAATGTCAAACAATTAAATACTAATGTAATTTTAAATGGGGAGAAACTGAGTCTTGTAGATACCACCATTTTTCTTGGAATCACACTAGACGCGAAGCTTCAATGGAGCCCCCATATATCAAAACTAGCAAGCAGACTTAGTTCTGCAGCATATGCTGTAAAAAAGATTAGAAGTCTAACCAGTGTTGAAACAGCTAGACTAGTTTACTTCAGCTACTTCCATAGCATAATGTCGTATGGTATTTTGCTATGGGGACACGCAGCTGACACAGAAATTATATTTGTTTTGCAGAAGAGGGCCATAAGAGCAATTTATGATTTAAAGCCTAAAGAGTCGCTGCGACAAAAATTTAAGGAAATTAATATATTAACTTTGGCCTCTCAATACATTTATGAAAATTTAATGTACGTACACAAAAATAAAAGTAGTTTTATAAAAATAAGTGATATTCATTCTGTAAATACTAGGAACAGACACAAGCTAGTAGTACCAGTTACTCGACTCCATCGAGTCAGTAATTCATTCTTGGGGCGATGTATACGCTTTTACAACAAAATTCCAGAAAATATACAAAGTTTGGCCTGTTCAAAGTTCAAAAACTTTATTAAACTAAGTTTGTATAAAAAGGGTTATTATAATATTAAGGAATTTATGGATGATAATAACCCCTGGAAATGAGGTGATCGCTACCAAGCTATTTCTAATTTGTTGTGTTGTTAATTTGTGTAACATCATGATTGTAAGCTGTTATTTAAAAAAAAAAAGTCCCGCTGGGTTTCTTGCTGGTTCTTCCCAGGACAGAGGTTTTTTCCGAACCAGTGGTAATCAAACAAAAGAATGACTTTCAATAAGTATTATTTATAATCTATATTGAATAAAAAAGTTTCTGTTTCTGTTTCTGTTTCTGTTTCTGTGCGCAGCCCGGACAAAGCACGAGGAGGACGACCCATTACAAAATCTTCGACAAGAAAAAAAAAAATCCAATCTTGTGTAATAGCACCTTGACAGTATAAGGTTTGTGACCCCTGGTTCCAATCTGGAAAAAAGTTTGAGAACGTCCTTAAACAGACATAATGTGGCATAAAGTCAATTCGTGGACTTAAACACTCTATTTTCTGTCTCAGAAGACTTTTTTTTTATAGAATATTGTTACGGATCGCCGTAACGCCGTTCGAAAAATGAGTGAAACACGTTGGTCTTGCTTAAACTGCGGTGCGGAGGAACTTTTTCTTTTCTTGCTGCTGTTTTCTTTTCTGTGGCTGGAGAGCGACTGCCGACCGTTCCGACCGGCCCGTCTTATATACTATTTGGCCGTTGCTGGCCAGCGGACCCTTGCCTCACCCCCGCGCCTTTCTTTATTAGGTAAATTTCTTATAAACTAATGTACAGACTAAAATATATTACATTCTTACAATTACTTATTAAACTAATACTTATATAACAATTTTGTTAAAAAAAAAACGTTGTTATTCCAGTAATTTTGAGCTGAGGACCCTGCCCCCGCCTCAGTACTATAAATATAAAACGTCGTGGCGCGGCGCGCGTAGCTTCATTCGCTCCGCGGCCGCGTCACGGTAACATGCCCTGTTTATTATTTACCGTGCCTAAGGGCTTAATATATATGAAATTTTTTCTAAATCTATGTTAACTCTCGCCATTTGTTCGGTGCCTTTATTGCGAGAGTTATTACATAGTTACAATATTATTTATTTAACAATAAAACTATATTTCTCCATATTATTGCTACGGCTTTTCCCGCGTTGCTGTGGGCAACCACCGCTAGTTGTGGAACCGTGAGCGCGCCCCGACGATCATAACATTCTCATGGCTCCGCACACCGCCCCTAGGTTGTTCAACTAGCGATGGTTACCACAAGCAATCCGTAAGTCATTTCGTTCGAGGTATTACTATGTTTGCGTCGTGCACATTCTCCCGCCGTCGCCACGCTGCGATCCCTCTGGTAGCACGACGATCTTCTTTGTCGGTCTTCGTAGTACATGCCCCGTGCTTGTGGTTACGTCCACTACTCGTACCTCTCCGTCGACGCCAGGATACACGTTGCTGATTTTTCCCCTGGGCCAGATGTTGCGTGGTAGATTGGAGTCACAAATGATGACTAGGTCTCCAATCTTCGGTGATACGCCTATGCTGCTGGGCTCCCGCCGGTGTTGGAGTAGGGGCAGGTATTCCTTTACCCACCTTCTCCAAAACACGTCGGCCAGGGCTTGAGCTCGTTTCCATTGCTGGCGGGCCGTCACGTCACTCTCGCTGAAGTGTCCCGGCGCAGGTACGTGCGAGTTGGGACCGATGATGATGTGATTCGGCGTGATGGCTTCTGGGTCTCCTGGGTCGACTGAGACGTGTGTGAGAGGTCTTGAGTTGACCGTGTTTTCCTCGGCGAGCAGGGTCACCAAGGTCTCGTCACTGGGATAGCGCTTGTTGAGGGTGACGCGTAGAGCTTCTTTCACGGAGCGAACCATTCTCTCCCACGCGCCGCCCATGAATGGTGCTGATGGCGGTATGTACTTCCACACAATTTGTCGACATGTGGTTTCGTGCTCGAGGGCTGCGAGTGCTGCTTCGGCTTTTTCTTATGTACAGTCTCTGTCTTAATTCGTTCACGACTGTTTCCACGCCTCCGTGATGCAACCTCTCGTGGACGTGGGTTATGTACAGACGAGTGTATGCGTGCTTCCCGTCTAGTATGG